TTATGAAAAGTGTTACCCAACAGGAATAAGGGTATGAAAACCTGGCCCCAGATGTTTATTTTAGTTATTTAACATTGCAAAATGGTGTAACTGGCATTGGATCTGAAATCACAACCAGTAATGCTTTTTAAAAGAATCTCTGCTCTACATTTTCTATTACGATTATAAGCAATAGAGAACTGGCAGCATCATGTGCCAGACTGAGGAGCTAAGAAATTTCAGGGCTTAAGAAACTAAGTTTGCTACAGTTTTATTAGCCTCTGAGGAAAGTACCAGGTACTGTAATCTGTAGTATCTTCTGCCACCCAATCTCAAAACTTTAGACACCAGCCATAAACACAGAACAACCCAACCCTTTTTATTACACTAAGCTACACAGCAGTTGCTTTAGGACCAAAAGAGGGCTTGCCAATTTGTAAAACAAAGGATCACAAGCTATGAAAAGAAGGTGAAAAATACTGTTACTTGCTGCTAATGGTATTGTGCAGTAGCAAAATAAAAAGTTTAATAAATTGCCCAGCATAATGATTATAAGCTTTAAAAATGCTATTTTCTCTTTCCTGTTAAAACCACATTTTAACAAATCCATTATCACATTAGTTTCCCATTTAATTGTGTCAGACATACCACATTAACTTGTCTTCTTAACAAATGAAAAAGAACCCCATCTGAGAGCTACCTTGTCCAAAAAAGATGAAATACAGCTGAGATTTCAGCACCCAACCTACTAACCATCATACTGCTTAAATCCACGTTCGTCTGTCTCTACTTCAGATTCTGGCTGGAGAGAAAAACAATTAAAATGATTTGAAGGTAGTTATCCAGTCAAACAACAATATTAACACTTTCAACGCTGAAATCTCTCTTGAAATATTCATTGTGGGGATTGGTATTAAAATTCTGTGGGTAACAGCAGCTAAAAGCCCAGTGGGAGGTGAAGAAATAAGGTGCGGTGTTACAAAGGGTGCCTATACGCATGCTCAATTAATTGCTAAATGTTCTGCAGCATCCCATGTATAAACCCCCACAGGCATAAAAATGGCTGCTGGGGTGCTTTAACTAAAGCTTACTGAAATGCATCCCCTGGCCATTTTTAAATGCATGGAAGCGTAATACACATGACTGTGCGGCATTTTAATTAGAGCAGCTCTCCAGGAAATGCTCTAATTAAAATGCCCCCTTTCCACATCCTTGAGCATGTATATAGACACCTAATAAGAGCACTATGCAGTATGATCAGAGGAGTAACAGGGAACTGGAAAAGTACATGGAATAGCAGGGACATAGAGTAGAAAGAACATTTTCAGGCTATATATGAACTAAGGACTGCAACATAATATAGAATCGTGGTTAAAATTAACCAAGCATCCCTCTCCCTACTCAAAAGATGTTCCTCATTTCTTCCCCTCCCCTCCAAAACAGTAACACTTGGATAAAGTGGCATGTAGATCTACATTGCTATTACAGAAATATTGTTGTTAAAATATTGTTGTTTTATTTCTTTGGGTATATGTACACTGCAAGGCATGCATGCATGTAGGTTCACATTATTTTCCACTCCACCCCCAGTCAACCACACACAGCTCCTATACAGTCCCTGCTGCTTACAGCAGGCTCATTAGGTTAACAGTTACGCTTGCTAAATAAGGTGGATGATAAAAATCAGGATTGATTAGAAATGAAACTGACAGGGATGTCAATTTCACAGCTGGTATTAGTAGTGAAACCTATTCAGGTGGAAGTCTGAATAAAACAGCATGGGTGTTGAACACAGCATAAGCAGAGTCTTTACCACTGATTTGTATAAGGATAACAAATAGCTAGTGCTATTTCCCCAATATAAATAGTCCCTTGGAAGCCCATTCCAGATTTTGGCAGCCCTCATTGTTAAGAAATTTTTCCTAATGTCTAATCTAAATCTGCTCTCTGTCAATTTCTGGCCATTGTTTCTGGTAACCCCAAGGGGCACCCTGGTAAAAAGAGTATCCCTTATTTCTTGCTCCTCCCGCCCTCCTTTCCCCCC